ACTGAAGCAGAAATTAAAGGATCCAGAAGTTTATCTGGACATTAAATTTAGAACATTTCTTTTTCTTTTCAACATTTAATTGAAGCAGCAAAACTGGAACAAAATATATTCAATAAAATAATGACAAAAATGTTAGAAATGATACAGAACTTCAGGAGGAGACGCAGCCGCAGCTTCACTCTGCTTCTGCTTCCGTTTCTGAGCTTCGGTTTCATTTTTGTGAGTGTCAGGTCAGTCTTTGGGAAACGTCATTCTACGTGTATGTCTACGAAGAATTGTTCAGCGGTTTCCACGGCGACGCGGGACACAGCAACAGCATCGGGAAAAAAAAGTTTAAAAAGTTTAAAGTCTGAAAAAGTGATTTAAAGAAACATTTTCATGATCAGGGTCAAAGTCACCGACCTGATCAGGAGACGGAACCGAGAGATGGAGGGAGGAGGAGAGGAGGAGAGGAGGACGGAGGGATGGAGGAGAGGAGGGATGGAGGGAGGAGAGTGTCGGAGGAGAGGAGGAGAGGAGGATGGAGGGAGGAGAAATGGAGAGATGGAGGGAGGAGTGTCGGAGGAGAGGAGGATGGAGAGATGGAGGGATAGAGGGATGGAGGGATGGAGGGAGGACAGTGTCGGAGGAGACGAGGATGGAGGATGGAGGGATGGAGGGCGGAGAGATGGAGGATGGAGGGAGGAGAGTGGAGGAGAGGAGGATGGAGGGATGGAGGGATGAGAGTGTCGGAGGAGAGGAGGATGGAGGGATGAGAGATGGAGGATGGAGGGATGGAGGGCGGAGAGATGGAGGGAGGGATGGAGGGAGGAGGGAGGAGAGTGTCGGAGGAGAGTGGAGGAGAGGAGGATGGAGGGATGAGAGATGGAGGATGGAGGGATGGAGGGCGGAGAGATGGAGGGATGGAGGGAGGAGGGAGGAGAGTGTCGGAGGAGAGTGGAGGAGAGGAGGATGGAGGGATGAGAGATGGAGGATGGAGGGATGGAGGGCGGAGAGATGGAGGGATGGAGGGAGGAGGGAGGAGAGTGTCGGAGGAGAGGAGGATGGAGGGATGGAGGGCGGAGGTCTAGACGCTCCATCTGAGTTTTGACAGATGGAGCAGAGACAAAGGTCAGAGACGCTCGACGCAGCAAAACAAACCCACGTGCCTCAAAACTAAACCTGAGACCAGAACTAAGACCAGAACTAAGACCAGAACTAAGACCAGAACTAAGACCAGACCAGAACTGAGACCAGAACTAAGACCAGACCAGACCTGAGACCAGAACTAAGACCAGAACTAAGACCAGAACTAAGACCAGAACTAAGACCAGAACTAAGACCAGAACTAAGACCAGAACTAAGACCAGAACTAAGACCAGACCAGAACTAAGACCAGAACTAAGACCAGAACTAAGACCAGAACTAAGACCAGAGACCAGAACTAAGACCAGAACTAAGACCAGAGACCAGAACTAAGACCAGAGACCAGAACTAAGACCAGACCAGACCTGAGACCAGAACTAAGACCAGAACTAAGACCAGAACCAGAACTAAGACCAGAACTAAGACCAGAACTAAGACCAGAACTAAGACCAGAACTAAGACCAGACCAGACCTGAGACCAGAACTAAGACCAGAACTAAGACCTGAGACCAGAACTAAGACCAGAACTAAGACCAGAACTAAGACCAGAACTAAGACCAGAGACCAGAACTAAGACCAGAGACCAGAACTAAGACCAGAGACCAGAACTAAGACCAAACTAAGACCAGAGACCAGAACTAAGACCAGAACTAAGACCAGAGACCAGAACTAAGACCAGAGACCAGAACTAAGACCAGAACTAAGACCAGAGACCAGAACTAAGACCAGAACTAAGACCAGAAGACCAGAACTAAGACCAGAACTAAGACCAGAGACCAGAACTAAGACCAGAACTAAGACCAGAACTAAGACCAGAACTAAGACCAGAACTAAGACCAGAACTAAGACCAGAACTAAGACCAGAACTAAGACCAGAACTAAGACCAGAACTAAGACCAGAACTAAGACCAGAACTAAGACCAGAACTAAGACCAGAACTAAGACCAGAACTAAGACCAGAACTAAGACCAGAGACCAGAACTAAGACCAGAACTAAGACCAGAACTAAGACCAGAACTAAGACCAGACCAGACCTGAGACCAGAACTAAGACCAGAACTAAGACCAGAACTAAGACCAGAGACTAAGACCAAACTAAGACCAGAACTAAGACCAGAACTAAGACCAGAACTAAGACCAGAGACCAGAACTAAGACCAGAACTAAGACCAGACCTGACCTGAGACCAGAACTAAGACCAGAGACCAGAACTAAGACCAGAACTAAGACCAGACCAGACCTGAGACCAGAACTAAGACCAGAACCTAAGACCTGAACTTGAGACCAGAACTAAGACCAGAGACCAGAACTAAGACCAGAACTAAGACCAGACCAGAACTAAGACCAGAACTAAGACCAGAACTAAGACAGAACTAAGACCAGAACTAAGACCAGAACTAAGACCAGAGACCAGAACTAAGACCAGAGACCAGAACTAAGACCAGAGAACTAAGACCAGAACTAAGACCAGAGACCAGAACTAAGACCAGAACTAAGACCTGAGACCAGAACTAAGACCAGAGACCAGAACTAAGACCAGACCTAAGACCAGAACTAAGACCAGAACTAAGACCAGAGACCAGAACTAAGACCAGAACTAAGACCTGAGACCAGAACTAAGACTAGAGACCAGAACTAAGACCAGACCTGAGACCAGAACTAAGACCAGAACTAAGACCAGAGACCAGAACTAAGACCAGAACTAAGACCTGAGACCAGAACTAAGACCTGAGACCAGAACTAAGACCAGAGACCAGAACTAAGACCAGAACTAAGACCTGAGACCAGAACTAAGACCTGAGACCAGAACTAAGACCAGAGACCAGAACTAAGACCAGAACTAAGACCTGAGACCAGAACTAAGACCTGAGACCAGAACTAAGACCAGAGACTAGAACTAAGACCAGAAACCAGACCTGAGACCAGAGACCAGACTTGGGCTCAGGAGTCTCTTTATGTTTTTACTGTAACAGAACATTTTGGTTCCTTTGATTGTTTGAAAATACTCAAAACTTTCACTTTTGTCTCCCCGTGCTAAGTCACTCCCCCTTCAGAGCCACAGTCTGTAGAAACACCTGCAGGTGGAACAGGACAAAATCAAAACCTCAGGATCCTGTCGCGACCAAACTGAGGCTCGACCCTGCAGCTCCAGAAAAGAGCCAGAAGATCCCAGTGTACGTCAGCGGAGTCAGAGTCAGAAGGAGCCAGAAGAGCCGCCGGGAGCACTTCCCTCTGTGCTGAGTCCCTCCCCCTTCAGAGCGTGGCACTAGTGAAACTCCTGCACGTCCCAGCAGGTTTGTCCAGTCGCTGTGTTCAGTTTTGTGTCGTGTTTTTGTGTTTTTATGCAGGATTGTGATGTGGGAGCATGTGGGCGGAGCCTCGTACAGACTCGTACTGCTGACTGTGAGGAGGGTCATTCCACACCACGACATTCAGCACGACATTATTACAGATGTGGTGTGTCAGATGCCCTCCCAGATGTTGTTTGTTTGTTTATTTTGTATTTAAATGAAAAGGTGATGATGGCCCCGCCCCCTCAGCTCCTCCTGACCAATCACAGGCCTGCTCCTCTGACTGACAGCTCATTACTTTGTCCCGCCGCGACCACGACAGACGAAGAAGAGCAGAGGTCTTCATCAGGTCTGACTCTGTTTAAAGCTCTATTCTGCTTTATTTGTGTTGATTATAATGTACGTCACTGTGACCCAGAGTGTGTGAGATCAGAACCACATAGTCCCGGTTCAGTCCCGGTTCAGTCCTGGTTCAGTCCCGGTTCAGGTGAGTCTGTGTTTGTTCATTTCTATAAATATAAAGATGATTAAAGGTAAAATTACATCTGTCTGAACTTCACTTCCTCTAAATGTGCAGAAAAAAAAACAGGACTGAACCAGGACTAAACCCGGACTAAACCAGGTCTAAACTAGGACTTAACCAGGACTTAAACAGGATTAAATCCAATAAAAAGCCTTGAGTCGTGAGTTTGAGTTTGAAAACCACATTTATTCAGATGTACAGACAGTGCTCAGGGGTCGCGCTCAGGGGTCGCGCTCAGGGGTCGCGCTCGGGGTCGCGCTCAGGGTCAGGGGTCGCGCTCGGGGTCGTGCTCGAGGTCGCGCCGCTTCACCTCCAAACGCAGAATAACTTAAGTTAAATAATAAATAAAATACAATTATTATTAATATTATGAATCTTCTTCTTCTTGGTGTCTGAGGCCTTTTAAAGACTCGAGTCTTTAATACTGTCAACACATGTAAACACACGTCCCTTTAAGTCCCCACACCCAACGGCCCGTCCCTTTAAAGGCCTATTCACACTTCAGAAGAACGTCCAGAGCCGACACATGTTCCTCCTCCTGTTGGACGGTTCTGCAGCTCTGTCCCTCGTCTTGGCTCTGGTCGGTTCTTTCTGTGTTCGTCGTTTCCTCATCGGGGTCGAGCAAGAAAAAAAAAAAGGATTTTGTTTTGAGTCACCGCTGGAGGAAACGGTGAGAAAATACAAACATCTTCAGCAGCAGAACGTCTTATGAAGTTTGAAATGTCAGAGCCAAATGAACTTTGTTCTTGTTCTTATCGCCTCAAGAACAAGAACAAAGTTCTTATGTTCTTATGAAATATGAACAGGCCTTAAGTCCCCAAACTGAAATGAAGAGTAACACTGTTCAGAACCGAGTTCCAGAGGCTCCAGAAGCTCCAGAAGCTCCAGAGGCTCCAGAGGCTCCAGAAGCTCCAGAGGCTCCAGAGGCTCCAGAGGCTCCAGAAGCTCCAGAGGCTCCAGAGGCTCCAGAGGCTCCAGAAGCTCCAGAAGCTCATGTTCACGGAGGTAAAATCAGGATTTGAACCACACAAGATAAATTAATTTGACATGACTTGAGGGAAGTGTCTTGCCCAGTGACACGAGGGCAGGTGAACTTGATCTGGGGCTCTGACTGTTGGTCATAAATGAGCGTAGTTTGTGTTCAGTGAAACGGTAGATTTGAGGTTCGGGGTTCGGGGTTTGGGGCTGTCGTTGGTCGTGTAGAATACTGTCTCTGTGCTGTTGGTGCGTCGTGACAAATCCAAACTAAAAACCTAAAAACACTAAAACGTCCAGAAAATCATCATCTGCACGACTGGAGGCGCAGAAACAGACGTCAGAGTGAAAAGGCCCAAGGTTTGAACCTCACACTTTCACTCTGACGGTTTGATGTTTTTGTGCCACTCGCGTTTGGAGAGTTTGGTCCTGTTTTAGTCTGGTTTTAGTCTGGTTTTAGTCTGGTTTTAGTCTGGTTTTAGTCTGGTTTTAGTCTGGTCTCGTATCTGGATGATTTTCTGTCAGTTTTATGTCGTTTACTCGATGATATCAGCGTCTGTTTCTACAGGAGGTGTTCACGCTCTGGATGTCAGATGTTTCTTGATCTTTGGGCTCGTCAGACTCGCTCACGTCTCTGCGACTCGACGACAGAGAAGAGGCGGAACTTTGTGCCACGTTTAGTTTCGTGTGGATCAGTAAATACAGAAATATGAAGCGTAAGGTCACACGTGTTTCCAGCTCGTGAACCTCCTCATCATCTGACTCCAGGCTAAACTTCGCTCTAGTGCAAAAAAGAACGTTTTGAACGTTTAAAAACATCAAACCAAGAACAGAAAAATGCAAAAACATGAAACATGGACAATAATAATAATTATAAATGTTTGGTTGGAGCAGCGAGGCCAACTTGTTCCATTCAAGTATCTGTCGTCAACAAAGTCGATAAAGTTTAAACATTTGAAGGAAACAAGTTGCATAGTTTGAGTTTGAGTTTGGCGCCTCAGAGTCGTCGGCGCTCGTCTCATAAATAATAACACTATTTTACACTTTCAGTTTGTCCGTAACAAAAATATATTAGATCTGTTTTATTTAAGAGTCTGAGTCTGGCGCCGCGGCCTGAGCTCGTTTACGAGCAGCCGCACTCGTCCACGATCATGTTCTGGATGTCCTTCTTGATGATCTTCTGCTCCTCGTTGTAGTAGAGCATGGACATGGCGCGGAGCCGCGTGGGCACGCAGCACGAGCGCAGGTTCTGAAAGGGGCTGTACCCGCGCATGCGGTAGTGTCCGATCACCGTGGAGTGGAAGGACAGGCTGGAGCCCGTGATGCTGGCCACGTGCGACGGGCAGTCGCCCTCGCAGTAGTTGGCGTGGTACCCGGGGGGCGCGATGATCCAGTCGTTCCAGCCGATCTCCTTGAAGTTGACGTAGAACTGGCGTTTGCAGCAGACCCGCACTTTCCCGTCGCACTCCAGGCCTCGTTTTTTACGTCGTTTGGAGTCGGAGAGGTCGTCCTGACGCACCACGGCCATGAGGAAAGGTCGGTGCGACTGTTCCCGCGCGCTCACTCTGGAGTCCGACGCCAACACGACGCTGGCGCCGGCGTCGGCGCACAGCGGGCAGGACACGCGCACGGAGAGCGTGGAGCCGTCTGAGCCTCTGGAGAGGAGGCTCTGCACGGCCGCGCTCACGGGGAAGGTGTGCCACCCGCTTCGCCGCGTGTCCACGTTCTTCTGGGCGAGCAGCACGTCCTCGCCCTGCGCCTCCGCCCGCAGGTGGCGCCGCCGAGGCTGGTACAGTCGGATCGTCACTTTGGCGCGACTGCGGTTGGATTTGGACAAACGCAGAAACAACCAAACGTTGGCCTGTTCCACCAGAGACAAACCTGAAGCTTCAGCCGAGAGAACGAAGTCCACAGAACCTCCAGGTCCTCCTGCCCACAACAAGAAGAAGAAGAAGAAGAAGAAGAAGAAGAGAAGGTCAGGACAGGTCAAAAACACAACAACATCTAAAATATTAAAACAAACTTTCACTGGAGAGGGAGACGGGCACAGGGAGACGGGCAGAGGAGACGGGCAGAGGAGACGGGCACAGGGAGACGGGCAGAGGGAGACGGGCAGAGGAGACGGGCAGCAAGGAGACGGGCAGAGGAGACGGGCAGAGGAGACGGGCACAGAGGAGACGGGCACAGGGAGACGGGCAGAGGAGACGGGCAGAGGAGACGGGCACAGGGAGACGGGCAGCAGGAGACGGGCAGAGGAGACGGGCAGAGGAGACGGGCAGAGGAGACGGGCAGAGGAGACGGGCAGAGGGAGACGGGCAGAGGAGACGGGCAGAGGGAGACGGGCACAGGGAGACGGGCACAGGGAGACGGGCACAGGGAGACGGGCAGAGGAGACGGGCAGAGGGAGACGGGCAGAGGAGACGGGCAGGGAGACGGGCAGAGGGAGACGGGCAGAGGAGACGGGCAGAGGAGACGGGCAGAGGAGACGGGCACAGGGAGACGGGCAGAGGAGAACGGGCAGAGGGAGGGCAGTGTGTGGTGGCAGCAGCAGTTGTGGGCGTGTGGCACTTCTCTCCATTCACACTGATCAAACACGACTCAGCACGAAAAAAAACCAAACAACCGTTCACTCCACTTCCTCTGCTCCGGGTCTGGTTCTGGTTCTGGTTCTGGTCTCAGGTCTGTGGTCTGGTCCTGGTCCTGGTCCTGGTCCTGGTCCTGGTCCAGTCTCAGGTCTCCGTTTCTGGTCTGATCTGTGGTCTGGTTTCGGACTGGTCTGTGGTTCTGGTCCTAGTCTGGTTCTGGTCTCTGGTCTGTGGTTCTGGTCTGGTTCTGGTTGTGGTTGTGGTTTTGGTCTCAGGTCTGTGGTCTGTGGTCTGGTCTTGGTCCTGGTCCTGGTCCAGGTCCAGTCTCAGGTCTCTGTTTCTGGTCTGATCTGTGGTCTGGTTCTGGTTCTGGTTGTGGTTCTGGATCTGGTCTCTGGTCTGTGGTTCTGGTCTGTGGTTCTGGTCTGTGGTCCTGGTCCTGGTCCTGGTCCAGGTCCAGTCTCAGGTCTCTGTTTCTGGTCTGATCTGTGGTCTGGTTCTGGTTGTGGTTCTGGATCTGGTCTCTGGTCTGTGGTTCTGGTCGTGGTTCTGGTCGTGGTTCTGGTCGTGGTTCTGGTCGTGGTTCTGGTCGTGGTTCTGGTCTTGGTCCGGCGTCAGGTCTCCCCCGCACAGACAGTAACGCGGTGACACGTTCAGGGACACTTTTAGCCTGGTTTTTCTCGGTTCTCTCAGAATAGAGCGTCTGACTCACCGTAAACAAACTCACAGCGTTTGGGACATTTCACTTTGACTCTGCAAATACTACAACTATTTATAGAACTACAAACATGGCCGACACACCACCAGACCAGACCAGGAACAGGACTGAGACCGGGACCAAGACCAGGACTACACCGAGACCAGACCAGGACCGGGACCAAGACCAGAACTACACCGAGACCAGACCAGGACCGGGACCAAGACCAGAACTACACCGAGACCAGACCAGGACTGGGACCAAGACCAGGACTACACCAAGACCAGACCAAGACCAGACCAGGACCAGGACCAGGACCAAGACCAGGACTACACTGAGACCAGACCAGGACCAGGACCAAGACCAGGACTACACCAAGACCAGACCAGGACTGGGACCAAGACCAGGACTACACCAAGACCAGACCAGGACCTGGACCAGGACCAAGACCAGGACTACACTGAGACCAGACCAGGACCAGGACCAAGACCAGAACTACACTGAGACCAGACCAGGACCAGGACCAAGACCAGGACTACACCAAGACCAGACCAGGACCGGGACCAAGACTAGGACTACACCGACCGTTTGGGTCCTGGTCCAGACCCGGTTGGGTCCTGGTCCAGACCTGGTTGGGTCTGACTCGGTGCTCTGGGCTCTTATTGTGGCGTTTGTGTTTAACTTAGACTCATCAGTCACTCAGCCTGTCATAATACGGAGCAGGGAATGCTGGGAAATGCGGTTCCAGGGATTAGACTGTTTAGACCAACTGTCCTCAGACTGAGCAGAGCACAGCTCAGGTGAACCACACACCCGGACTAGACCCGGACTAGACCCGGACTAGACCCGGACGAGACCCGGACGAGACCCGGACGAGACCCGGACGAGACCGGGACGAGACCGGACGAGACCGGGACGAGACGGGACGAGACCGGACTAGACCCGGACTAGACCGGGACTAGACCGGGACTAGACCGGGACTAGATCGAGTGTGGACCGGGTTTAGACCAGGTTTAGACCAGGGTTAGACCAGGTTAAGGCCTGGTTAAGATTTGGTTTAGACCTGGTTTAGTTCTGGTTTAGACCTGGTTTAGATGGTGTTTAGACCATTTAAGTCCTGACTGAGTCCAGGTTTAGTCCTGGCACAGTCCTGTTCGTTCAGAGTCACACCCTGTGGTTTTGAAGATCCTCAAACAAATGTTTTTGTTACATTAGTCCAACGACAATGAACCAGGACTAAACCCGGACTGAACCCGGACTGAACCAGGACTAAACCCGGACTAAACCCGGACTGAAACCCGGACTGAACCCGGACTGAACCCGGACTGAACCTGGACTGAACCCGGACTAAACCCGGACTGAACCAGGACTAAACCCGGACTAAACCCGGACTAAACCCGGACTGAACCCGGACTGAACCCGGACTGAACCAGGACTGAACCAGGACTGAACCAGGACTAAACCTGGACTAAACCCGGACTAAACCTGGACTAAACCTGGACTAAACCCGGACTAAACCCAGACTGAACCAGGACTAAACCAGGACTAAACCTGGACTACACCAAGACTAAACCCAGACTAGACCAGGACTAAACCCAGACTAGACCATTACTAGACCATTACAAGACCAGGACTAGACCAGGACTAGACCAGGACCCGGCTGAGACCTTGTGGTGCTTATGAAGTGTTGTTGTTTCCAAACAGATCCAGACCCAGAGAAACACGACTGTGTCAAACCCACGTGCCCTCGAGCAAGACACTTACACTGCCCCCTGAATCTAGGCTTTTTATACAGACTAAACCAGA